AAGTCAAGCACACTAATGTCCTTCTAGAAGGGTCCCTGGAGAATTGATAATAGAACAAAGTAACGGAGTGTATTTCTAAATGATTCATGTAATTAAAGTTTAACATAATTGGACATGAATTGTTATTGGAGTTTCATTTCTGTATCCTGGAGTACACATGGTGGGAAACTTTTAGTCATAAAGCATCTCTCTCTCAAGGATGTAAATGCCTTTGACATTGCTGGATGGTTCTGTCACTGAGGGAATGGGCACCATCTGTCCCTGCTTAGCTGTGCTGAGAACGTTGACCTGACACCGCGCGGGGAAACTGGAGAAGTCTGAAGGAGTATCGCAGTTCCTTTTTAACCTAGTAATGAGTTATCTGAAGTGTTGCAAAACCATGAGCTTTTCTGTGAAATGCAGACAGAAGAGTTATTGTCAGTCTGGAAAAGATTAATTATGGGAGTTTAGAAAGAAAGACACAGAAGCTATCTGGGTTCTGAACCAGTAACCTTTTCCAGCTGTCAGGAGTAGAGCAGAGAGACAGAGATTCTCTGTTTGCTGGGGATCTGATTGAGACATAGGCAAGCGAACAAGTAGCATGAAAAGCAGCTACATGGATAAGGGTGCTGTTTAGTCCGATTAGAACAATATTGTACTTAACTCAAATAACTTGGGGGGATACTTTTATAATCATAATTCACCCTTCGTTTCAATCTATTATAGTCAAACCAGAAGAGGAGTGGACACAGATGTCAGATAATTGGCAAAGGCTGTGTTTCCTCTGACCCACATGTCGAATTTTATAAGCAGCCTATTATCTCTACTTACATTACATATGTGTGGCTAATTAACTCATCATATTCTCCCTGAAACATTCTTTCTCCTCCCTCCCTGTTCCCACTTTCTATTAATGGAACTATCCAGCAGCATGTTAGTTGAAAGGCTTGGAATCATTTTAAACAGTGTGCCTCCCCATTGTTTGCTTGTCAATTGATTCTATTTCCAGTATATACCTCGAAGCTATTCCCTTGTCTTCAATATTGCATCCACAATTCAAGCCTTTCTTTCTGAACATGTGTTTGCACTCTAAATATGAGCTAGCTAGATTCCTTATTCTAACTCCCACTCTCTAGACTCTGATTTATGGCTTCACTTTACTAGAGAACAATTCTAGTTATGATATTTCTATGTTCTAAAATCGTCAGTCACTGCAAACTATCTGTTGAGTGAAGCCCAACTGCAAGCAAACAGTCCTGATGCCTCGTTGCAGGACTCCTGATATTCCTGCACCTTCCTTCATGCTTCCTGCTGAGTTTCCTTGCCTCTGTGACTTATTTATGAGGTTTCCTCTGCCTGGATGTTCACTCGCTATCTTTTTTTTCCTTTATGAGCTAGATCAAATCTCACATTCTCCACAGGACTTTCTTGGGTCCCAAAGCTTCCTGGGCATTCCCAGAATGGGGATGAAAGAATTTTGTCAGGATTAGGCAATAAAATCATAGATTTGTAGGCTAATATATATATGTTTGTGATTCAAACCATCATGTTAAAAAAAGGATGTTAGATGGCCACTACAATTCCCCAGCCTGAGATACTTTTCAGGAAAAGACTGGAAAATACAGGTGAATTAGACTTCTCACTCTCAGAAGTTTGGTTCAATCCATAATAAAAGGAAGTACTATTAAACATTTAAACACACACACACATACACACACACACACACACACATTTTTAAAAGAGAAAAAAATGACTGAATAATCCACTGGAGTGCTTTGGAAAGATATTTAAGAATGAAAGTGTTGTGGCATCTAATGAGTATGATTATTAGACTTTATGGCAAAGGACTGTCTGCTTCCTCTCATTCCACCTCCTCCACATTCTGTAACAATCATACAACATCTTTCAGAATTCCCTAGATGAGCTGTGCTCTTTCATAATTCCGCACCTGTTCATCATTTTTTAAAATTTTTTAGGCCAAATTAAATATTACTTCTTTTTTGAAATCTCTACCCAAAGCAAAGCAAAAAATTCACTTTGCTTCTTCAGTTTCCTATCATGTTGGTCCTATCTCAATTATGGTGTCCTTAACACATAGTAGGTAATCAATAAATACTGCATAAATGAAAGGTTGAAAGAATACGTGGTATTATCATCCTTAAGTTTCAAAAGAAAATGAGGCTCAGAATTTGCTTGCCAATATTGGACCAACTTATCAGAAGGGAATCTAAGATTCAAACCCAAGTCTTATGACTCCAAGGCCCCTGCTAATTTCTCAAATAGACTGATTCACATGAACTTGGTCACCAAATCCTTGAATATAAAACTAGTGCCACTCTTGAAGGTTTAACTGACTTGATTTTTAAAAAAGCAAAAGGCATCTTTATACAGAAGCAGAATTGTAATAGGCATTAAATGTAAATAGGTAAATGAAAGCCATCATATTCATATATGCAGTATAATCACAACAGATTAGTCAGGTAAAGCACATATATATAGGTATGTGCTACTGCAGCTAGGCACAGTAGCACATACCTGTAATCCCAGCAACTCAGGAGGCTGAAGCAGGAAGATCAGTCAGTCTCTGCAAAAGTGAAGCACTAATCAACTCAGTGAGACCCTGTCTCTAAATAAACTTGAAAATAGAGCTGGGGATGTGGCTCAGTGACCAAGCGCCCCTGAGTTAAATCCTAGTACCTGCCCCCACCCCCCCAAAAAAAAAGAGAAATAAAATATGGAAACAAAATTTAGCTAAGGAAAAGCATACTCTTCCAGAAATCTACCCTTCACTGACTGTCAGACAGATGACTGGGCTCAATTGATCTGGGTCTGAACTAGTATTTGATTCAACCACATTTCAGCATAGGAAAGAATGTGGAGTGCCCCTCAATGTTTGTGCTACTGAGAGGATATTAAAAGATTAATGCAGCATGTTAACTGTACCAACTTATCATTTTAGTCAAGGAAAGGAACTATGTGACTGGGTTTCAAAACAAATCGATTATTTCAGGTTGCTTGAGATTGTTTTAAGTGCTTGCAAGCAGAGTAAGAGCAGCCAGAACCCACATCTTTATTGTAAACTGATTAGCTATGTATCCCATTTCACGATGAATTCCAGCTGTGTAGACTACAGTCCCGATTGTTGAGCAATTCCAAAAAAACATTTCTACCTATCAGCACTGCCCTTCTAAATGACAGGGTCGTTGGCAGAGATAAGAAAAATCAGTTGTTCCACTTATAACAGTATTGAGAAAAAACATTCTAATTTTGGAAAGATTTTTTTTAAAAAGCATTTCTAAAGGAGACATTTGACCCCATTCATGAATACACAAACCCCTTTATTGTTGGATTTTTGTTATGTACTATTTCCTTGGCTATTTGGGGAATGAGATTCAGACTATGTAGATCACTGGTGTAATGTGTTGTAGCCACATGTTCTTGCCTCATGCTCTTCTTATGCATTCTTTTTCTGTACTAATTTTAAAGAAACATTATGCAATGTGCTGTCAATTTATGCAGAACTGTTGAAGTGTGATGTCATTTTGGTCAAAATTAGATTGTATAAATTCAGAAACCCTAACCTGAGATGATTCAATTTCCCAGATTACTAGATTTACATATTAATAACTCCTAGGGTATTTTTCTTTTCGCCAGCTCTAATTGCAACCAGAATTTATGGCTTGGAATCTTTTAAAATCCAAATGCAATGGCCAAGTGCTTAAAGTTTGGAGCCTTGCCACAGTGTCACAGAGACCTCAGCAGACACAAATCTAAAAGGTTAGGGATCTGCGCTTCATTCTCTTTCCCCCCATGGGAGGATTCTCAGCACATTATTCAAGATATACTCTAATATTCCCAGCAAACTCCAATGCCAAATGATAGCTACAAGAGTATTTATGGCCCATTGGTTCAAAATGTGTTCACTTTTCTATTCACATTCATCTTTATCATAATATCATGATATATAAAAATGATGAATTCACAAATTTTCTCCTGGGCTTCAACATGCCAACTTTCATAGTACTTATAAATGGGAAAATTTTTTAAAAAGTGAAATCTGGGTCTGGGGTTGTGGCTCAGTGGTAGAGTGCTTACCTAGCAAGTGTGGGGCCCTGGGTTCAATCCTCAGCATTGCATAAAAATAAATAAATAAAGATATTGTGTCCAACTACAACTAAAAAATAAATATTAAAAAAATGAAATCTGTTTTGTTTGTGCATGTATCCTGAGCTATGAGTTTGGGGTTTTCTTATACAGTAATAGGATCTTCTGTAAAGGGAAGGAGTTAGTGAAAGTTTTTTTTTTTCCAAGCCAAACTGTATCCAGCTTTATTAAAGATACTTTTCATAAACAATCATGGTATTTCAGGCAGGACATGGGCAGACAATCGTTAACAGTATACAACAACTTTCAAACTCCCTTCTTGAATGGACTACCAAAATCAGAAAGCCACTATAAAACCCAATGAAGTCTTCATTTGATGCTCTGAATAGGGAAAGTTTAGAGTGAGGGTTGACATTTCACATTTAGCATGTTGTTTAACAACTTTTCACAAGCAGACCCTGACTTTCAGGAAATGAAAGGAAAATGGCAAAAATTATTAATCTGAAGATCCACAATCTAGAAAAGGAACTGCTGCTCTTCTGAGGGACACTATTCTCAATGACGTCACTGGAAAGTCCAGATTGCCCCACACACTGGTAAAACCAACTGTTGGGAATCAGGTCCCAACAGGTTTAGGGGAGTTAAGTCTATGCCAATGGCAGAGAGGGWCAGGAGGACATACAGATGAGTTTGAGTTTTTCCATACCACAAGGCATTTGTGCCAAGGTGGCTATGTGTGCCAACATCAGGGAATCCCTTCCTCTTAGGAACAAAGAGGAAGTCTCTCAAAACTAGAAGGGAAAGGTGTCTTCCCCCACAGCAATCCAGCTTTGGAGACATTCTACTAGTGACATATGCTCCTTCCCCCCCAAAACAAAAATGAAGTGTTCTGTGTGCTAACAACATAGCTTAAAAAAAAAGTAAAACAAAATTCTGCATTTTTATAAAACTTGATAAAAAATAGTATTTCAAACTGTACAGTCACCAGAAGTACACAGTTATCAAAAACGCACACACTTCACTTGGCATCTCCAGCACCTTCAGCTTTCTGTGCCTGGTCTGTTTTGGCATCTCCATTTTCTGCAGGGTTATTCCCATCCTTGCCAGTGTCAGCTTTTCCCTTTTTCCCTTTGGGTACCTTCTCTCCCTTCTTTGCAGGGGCCTTTTTAGGCTTGGGCTCTGGCTTTGGAGGAGCAGGTTTGGCAGACAACCTTGCAGATCTTCTCTGTGGTTCGTCTTTCACCTTGGCTTTATCTCCTTTAGCATCCCCTTCAGCCTTTCTCTTGGGCATGGTGGCGACGGCGGCGGGACGCAGGCGCTGGACGCGGGGATGCAGCGGCGCGCGGCTTTGGTCGGTCCGGGGGTCATTCTCGCCTCTTCTTCTTCACACTGCTCTAGTGAAAGTGTTGATGCCACTCAAATCATACCTGTTCTCTTAACAGATAGAAAAAGCAAGCATTGTTTGGTGGTGTCGTTCTCAACTTAATTAAAAGAGTTTTTATTTCCATGCACATTTTAATGGTCAATTAGAGAGCTATTCCAAAGGCTATAGCAGGTTGGCTTTAAATTTTAAACTCTCTTACCCCTATTGAATGGCAAAACAAATAGGAGTGTGTTTCCCATTGAAGATCTCTTTTTAAGGAAGGCCTCTATAGTGTACCATTGACATGAGTAATGATTAAACCCAAAACCCTGGGAATGAAATCTCCTGGCAGAAAACAACTGAGATGAAGAATCAGGTTAGGACTGAGGGGACCGGAATAGAAATCATATTCCTCAGAAATTTCTCTATATTACATATAATTCTACACAAACAAAGTTGCTGCAGAGAATGTCCAGATGCAAAATCAATCCCAGTATATTTACCTGATCAAGGAAGGCTGAGGTTCACAAACACAATACGAGGTATTAAGTGACTCTAGCAGAAGAGGTGAGAATAAGCACGGTGGAGTTCAGAGATCAAAGAGAAATCACATTTCTTTTGAATCAAAAATAAAAGGCTTTGTGGAATGTATTCATGTAAGATAGACTTAGAAAAGAGGAAGATATTGATAGATTGAGGGACAGGATGATATTCTGGGTAGTTGGAAAATAAGAACTCTTTATTATTATAAATAATCACTATATAATCTGGGTTTCAAATGGATCTCCTCCATTTGACAGTAATAACAGTAATATTAACAACTGAATATTGAGTACCATCCTATGTGACAAGCTCTTGTATTATTTCATTTAATTCTTTAAAATGCCCTATTATGTAGATTCTCATCATTATTTTATGAATAAAGTAACTAACACTCCAAATATAAGGAAAATTCCTACGAAGCCAGGTCAAATTGACCAAACTCCATTCACATGACTACTACTCTCTCTCCTGCCTCCCTTTTGAACATAAGACAGTTCTTTATCCTCTGATTGGTAAAAATTCAACCACATTTGTGCAAAAAAAGCCTTGGAAGGGATTCACTAAGCCAATTCCTCCTGTGATTAGCACCTCTGCTTTGGGAGAAGGGCCTGGGATATATTAATAGTCCCCATGGCTGAGACTATGGGAGAGAGTTGGCTGTGCGCCATGATGCATACAGTGAGGGCTCTGGGGATAAGCTGCAATGAGCAAATGCTGATCCTGCCTCATACCAAGTATATGACTGTGGGCAAATTCCCTTCTGCACCTTGCTTTACTTCACCCACAAAACAGGGTTTGTACTCCTATAATCCCAGTGGCTCTAGAGGCTGAGGCAGCAGGATAGAGAATTCAAAGCCAACCTCAGCAACGGGGAAGCACTAAGCAATTCAGTGAGACTCTGTCTCTAAATAAAAAAAAAAAAATACAAAATAGGACTGGGGATGTGGCTTAGTGGTTGAGTGCCCCTGAGTTCAATCCCCAGTACTAAAAAAAAAAAAAAAAAAGGGAATTATAAAGGTGCCTCCCTCATAGTTTGTTCTGAGAGTTAAGTGAGGCAATACATGGAAAGCATATACTTCAGCTTTATCTGGTAATTTTGTGAGTACACAATAAATTTTAGGTATTATTTTCAATCAAATATGAACATTAGCTTTAGCCCCATGGCGTTATAAAAGAGAAATTGGAGCAGATAACACAGGCAACACTGATTCCTTTATCTAGGGTATCATAGGGTTCCTTTTTGTATCTCCCTGTCTTTGGACTTTGTTCTTTATTTCTATATAAGAAAGCACAGTCCTTGATAAAATAAGTGAGTTTCCAAGAGACACATAGAAAGCCAAAGGCAAAGAATCTAAAAATATGAAGCTTTTTTCATTCCTCCAAGTCAGAGATCATAAATCATTTGCAGAATAAAAAATAAAGTTCGGTCCTAATTACCAAAGAGGAGGAATACAATTATCTTTTAAAACCCACTCTTGCATCATGGAAAACTTTTATCTGTTCTATTTAAAATGGCAGAACCATTCTTCTTTGCAGATTCTCAGCCATGGGATAACTAGATATGAGGCACACAGTGATGTCATCAGGTAAAGGGGTGTAGGGGGAGGGGAGGACTGAAGGTTAGTCTGGCAACTGAACACTCATTCTCCTATTTTTAGATCACCCTGAAATTCTCTGCTTTCAATGGCATTTGAAAATTGCAATTTTTTTTTCAAATTACAGTTACAGAGGAAGAAAAAATGACAATATTTTATCTATGTTTATCTTGAAAAATTTCTCAAGAGGCAGCCCTCAAAACCTTGAAATACTGTATTCTATATTAGGCAACACAGGACAGGCTGACTGTACGGGAAGATCTGCTATGGGAAGATCTGCTGTGGGAGTCAGTCCTGCCCTTCCTCTGCCCTGTGTTGCAAGGAACCACATTTCTCAGGCTCCCTTGCCCTCTAGTCTGTAGGTATGCTTGGCCCGTGGGAGGCAATGATGGCAGATTGGATGACAGGCTAGGAAGACAGGCCAGGGTGTTTCTTCTCTTCTCTCTGCCTCTAGAGGCACCCCTCACACAGACTGATCCTCCTACTTCCCAGCAGGCAGCCTCTCATTCTGTGGTTCCAGCTGTGGGACTCTGGTCATTCAATGTTCCATATCCTCTGTGGCCCCCCACCTCTAGGTGTGTGGTCACTGCCTGCTGTTGTTAATCTCTGGGTTTCCTCCTGCCTCCTGTTGGGTTTTGTGGGCTGGACATCACTTGTGTAAACAGTGTCCGGTATGAAATTTCCTCTGTCTGGAAGGTTCACATGGAATACTTCCTACCTAGAATCTGACTGATACACTGTGTAACCCTTCAATCCTAATGCTATTGGTCAGTTTCCCTTGCCACATTCTGAAGCAGGCACTTTGTTTCCCAAAATTGTCCTATTTCTCATTCTGCAGCTACTTCTTATTGAGTGCTCCCCTTTAGGGTCCCAGTGGCTTTACAGTATCATAGATAGTGTGTAGAGTCACCAGTGACTTACTTCTCTTTCCTTTTTCTAACCCACAGCTTCTCAAGGTGCCCATTAGCAGTTTAGTGAGAAAGTTAACCCATTATCTTAACAGCTGACAACATCTTATTGTGGAACCCCTGCAGTGAATTTATATGTTTAAAAAAAAAACTCACCATTTTTGCTGCTATAACAGAATACTTGAGATGGGAGTCATTTATTATAAAGAGAAATTTGAGGATTCATAGTTCTATATTCCAAGATCAAGGGGCCAGCATCTTGTTGCTGTGTCATTCCTTGGCAGAAAGGTGGAGAGCAGGAGAGAGAGCAGGAGAAGCCTGAACTCCACCTTTTATAATGACATCGATCCCACCCTTGAGAGTAGTGCCCTTCTGACCTAATCAACTCTCAATACTGTTACAGTAGCAATTAAATATCAGTATGCATTTGGAGAAGACAAATATTCAAATCATAACATTCCCCCAAAGCCAGAACCCTTCCAGCTTCACTTATGTTTAATATGATTTTTGCTGCTTTAACTACCCTTGCTCAAAATGCCTCATAATTCAAATCCAACACCATTTTTGTTCTTACAAGAAATCTGTTGCCATGGAGCTTTGAGAGTTGATGTTCATCATGGTTCTGCATTCCTCTCCTTTCAACATCACTGCCACCCTCAGGCCCATGCTAACCTTCACCTGGATGATTGTGTGATGTTCACCAGGACACATACATCTGCCTCTCAGTTTTCCCAGCTCGTGCTCATCCCATGTAAAGTTTAATCAGCCTTAAGATCATTTTCATAGTTAGTTCTTAATCAAAGGTGTTGTGTGCTTATATTGCTTACAAGATAATTAAAAGTTAACTTGGCAGTCAAGTTCTCCACAATCACTCAAAATACACATTCTCATGCCTTCCTCACATGCGGAACCTCTCGGCTGATCATTCTGAACAACACAAGTTTAGTTTATGATTTGTTTCCTTGAAAGATGATCCCCAAGTCAAACATGAAGTCAATGAGCAAGACAGTTAATTTTCGAATCTTCATTCACCCGTTTATCATGTTTGGGGTTCTAAAGGTAGTTGTGGTGTTCTGCAATTCTCTATAGGCTAGTATCTATTATGGTTCCATAGTGAACCATTTGGGTTCCTGAGAGAATGAGTCAGGTCTAATGAGAAGGAAACATTTATATAGAGAACTGAATTTGCATTAGAAAAATCCATGGTGCATATGATGATACCTTTTAATTCTCCCCTCAAGTGGTTGCTCCAAGTATTTGCTTTCTGTATACTCCTGAATTCTAGATATGAATTAGAATCCTAGAGGCCTTTTGGACCAAGACACAAAACCTAACAAATTTGATCCCTGGGAAAAACAATTCTAGATTTCACAGATTCCATGAGCACTTCAGAAATAAGACGAGTCTTGGAGATTAGATGAGGCTCATTGGTAGGTTGGAGTTTGACTGAGCTTGCCCAAAGTGCCCTATGGCCTGGCAACTGCTCCAACATTTAGAATCATTAAAAGACTAAAATAGTGCTGGGGTTGTGGCTCAGTGGTAGAGTGCTTGCCTAGCACGTGAGGGCACTGGGTTAGATTCTCAGCACCACATAAAAGTAAATCAAATAAAGGTATTGTGTTAAAAAAAAAAAAGCTAAAATAAAAAATCTTTTAGTGATATATGCAAGGACTTGCTAAGGACAAGCAAACAGGCCGTTGATTTTAGGAGACCTCTATAAAATGATCAAGAAAGAAAATATGAACTTGAACAGTTTAGTATTATCCATAAATATTCTGCTGATTTATCTCATCCACTGAGAGCTTCAAAACAGTTTCTAAATCTTTTACTGCCCATCTGTGCTAAATGAGAGTGGTTATGATAGCAGGAAATAAACTTTGCTAATTTACTGCCACAGTTAAAATTCATAACACAATTCTTTTATTAAAAATAAGGTACTAAAATCATAGAACATAACTACTTGTGCAGACAGATAGTCTT